TGACGACAGGTACCAGACCGAAATCTACAGTGATCAGACATGGAGGAGGCTTGGTGGGGGTGGGGCTGGCGGGCCCACAATTGAAACAGAGTGCCACTGTGTGACAGCTGCACCGCACTAGGCACACTGCACAGATGCACACTGCCCATAAAGCGTCCAACTGCATGTATAGTGTTATGTAGTAGAACGGTGCCCATGCAGTTACAGTGCCTCGTCGTTTCCCGTGAAAACCGCCCTCCCAGCTCAGCAGGGCGGACTGCTGTTACTCTGTTGGTACACCCAAAAACTGTTGAAATACAGACCGGAGTTCGAGTCCATCTGCCATAAGATTACTTCTTTTTTTTCTCGACATTTTGGCTGGGGAAGTGCAATCATGACACCTCAAGGCCGTGGCCGTTTCTAAAGAAAAGGAAGGGAAAAAAAATCAAGAGAAAAAGAAAACAAAAAACTGCATGCCAGCTCAACAGGGCGGACAACTGCACTTGAAACAAAGCAAATGAAAGATCCCACATGCATAGATCAGGGCAGACTCATAGTAAGAATGTATCTGAGTGAAATTACGGTCAGACCTGGATGAATCTGACTGCAATCACGTCTAGAGCTTAGTAGAACAAGTCCTAGTTCCAATATGCCCTCAGTTGGTACACCCAAGAACTCTTGAAATACAGCCCTAAGTTCGAATCCAGTTCCCATAGACATAATTCGGAAATACCAGTTGCTCTCACTGATGATACCGCCTTTTTTTTTTTTCCTTTTTTTTCCAATGATGATACCTCAAGAACGTGGCCCTGTCAAAGCAAAGAAAAAGAAATGCAACCGCAAAAAGAAAGAGCAGTCAAAGAGAAAAATCGCAAACGGACAGGCAGGCTGCAATGATGAGGGCTGCCTGCCTGCCTTTCCTTTATGTCACACATGTTGCTGGTACCGGTAACATGTCCCGCCTGGTTGAATTTGCGGTCACTGTAGCTGTTAGGCTCGGGCAAATGCACTTTCTGGTTCGACAATTTAGCCTCCGATGGACTGGTGGTTTAAGTTCATTTTCTCCCAGGGCCTTTCGACTGCAATATCGGGATACTCCGGGAAGGAGCGTGGTCTCTTCTTGTTTCTGTATCCACTTGAGTTGGTGCCACCCTTGTTGGCCACAATGGCAGTTACGTCACCCTTTCCAGATGCACTGCCATCGCTTACTCCACCCTCGGCCTCATCAAGAGGAATCTTGTCAATCATGTCGTCGTCGAAGACAACCATGGTGTGGTCCTGTTGCTTATGCCGCCGTCGTACCAAATACCCTTACAAGGGTATTTGGTGTGTTTTTTGCAAGTCACACCAGTGCGGCCCCGTCCCCTTGACGACTCGTGTGCGAGAGGAAGCTCAGTATCTCGCCTAGAGTGGCGCGCGCGAGGTATTGACAGCGAGGTGCAACCATGCGCGGTGTGGGTGTGCGCAATGTCGCAAGACAGAGGGACGCGCAGCCCCTCGACCCGTTTCCTTTTTTGTGTTCCCTCGAGTCTATTTTTATTCGTTATTATTTTTATTATTATTTTATTTTATTGCCACGCCCGCTTTTGCTGATGATTGATTCTGAGGCTGACATAGGGACCGACAGGCCTAGCTCGGCTACTACCTTGCCGGACATGGGTGGCCGTTACAACAGTCGAGGACCTTGATCAAACGCCTCTTTCGGTGGGCCGGCTCGGGTTCCTGCGTTTGTCGGGATGCTGATAAAATTCTTCTATCCGCCCATCTTGAAACTTGGGTCGGGGAGTGGAACGTGCTTGCGAGCCGGTGGGTAAGTAGCCCATGAGGCAGAAAGAAACCTGGGTGGCGGGGGCCGTTGCAGATATATAGACCTCTGCCCACCATCTGCGGTGAGAGGGTCAAGTGTGAGCATGCCCGCTGGGCCCACAAGATGGTGAATTGTGCCTGGGTGGGGCTTTGGGGGCACCAGTGGGAGGCTGCCGCAGTGTTGGCTGTGCGGCAGGCTGTCCCAGCGGCTGTTCCCATAGGAACCTTCTCCGCTTTTGTCTCAAAATTCTCATTTGAATATTTGCTACTACCACCAAGATCTGCACTGGGACCCGCTTCACCTAGTTCACGTTGCGGGGGTCGCAGCAAGCCCTGCGCCCTCCCGCTCATCGCAGCATTGGGGCAGTCGCGGCGGCCAAACGTGGGACGTGCGTTGCAACGCCATCCATTTATGGGGCTAATCAATCCGGCAGGCAGGTTGCTACGCACTCCTTAACGGATTTCGACTTCCATAACCATCGTCTTGCTGCCTGTATCACTCGATACCGCCTGGGTTAGCTCACAGTTCGACACCGACAAGGGCCAGAGGCGCACCGGTGGAGGACTGCAGCGATACTGTTGTGGGAGTCGCTCGTCGGACCGCACATAGGGGTGAAAGACTATCGAACCGCCTAGTAGCTGGTCCCTCAGAAGTTTTCTCAGGTGCTGAAGCAGTCGGGCAGGCCGCTGCGTTAGGCACTATCGGGTCCGAGAAGAGAAAAACAAAGTAAAAATTAATCTGGCGCGAGTTCGCGCCAGATACGTTTGACAGAGGAGATGGTGGAAGATGGGTATGACGGAAGGGAAAGTGACTACCTCACTCGTTACACGACAGTTTTAGGCAGGGGAAGATGGTAGATGGGGGTTCTCGGACCAGGCGAGTGCAGTGGTGAAGTCAGTTTCAGTGCTAGATTAGTAGGACGAGAGGGTAGTGAGAAAAGGTGTGCGGAGAGTTGGTGGGAGCAAAGAAGGAGGGAAGTGGAAAAATGCATATCTCGCTCGTTTCCGGATGAAATCGAGCGAGGGAGGACTTAGATCGGGGTTTTCAGGTGTGGCGATCCCGATTCTAAAGTCAAAATTAGTAAAAGGTTCGTAGAAGAAGACTTAGTAGAGAAAAAGTGCTGCGTGAGAGTGCTTTCGCAAGAAAACGGCCGGATGCACGACGCGACGAAATTGCTCGTCTCGCGCGCAGCCCCTACCGTTTACACCACCGTAACCACTACCTCACCTCCTAGTTGACTTAAACAACATGTTCACCCTACCTTAACACCTCTAACTAACCTCTTTCCCACTGCCAAATTTAAGAATCACTCGTTTTAACGGATTGGCAGTGAGAACGAGGCTGGTTAGAGGTGTTAAGGTAGGGCAAGCACATTAGTAAAGTCGGATTTGGAGGTGAGGTGGTGGTTACGGTGGTGTAAACGGTAGGGGCTGCACTTGGGACAAGCAATTTTGGACCGTTGTGCATCCGACCGTTTTCTTGCGAAAGATTCAGTCTCATTTCTCACATTTTGGAAGTAGTGGAGTGTAGCCTATGTTTGCTCACACGTGCTTGTGCTCAAAGTGTTCATCCTCATCATTACTGCAGTGGTAAGGCCCTCCGTCGCCGTAATTGTTGTGGTCGCAGATTAGACCGTGTTGTTTATCATGGTCTTCTACGTTATTCACGCGGCCTGCTCCCCGACATTGCAGTCTTCGTCTGCATGGAATAGTCATCGTCCACCGGATCTTCCCTGTTTGCTTGTCGGGATCTCCACGTGTTCCTGTTCGTAGTCGGCTTCGTGTTCGTCGTTCAAGTTACGGCCTGCCATTCGATGGGGTTGTGAGGCTGCTAGAGGAGACCATGTTGCTGTGCGTGGTGATTGCACCCCTTAGGCCGTCGTTCATCCTTGCTGTAGGGAAGCTTTTTACTCACCATGAGAGTGTCGTTCGCCCTCGTAGTCATCGATTGCGGTCCTGGTGGTCACACCGGTCGTGATCACGCAGGAATGATTGTCACGCCCGTCTGCAGCCGCTTATCGTGGTCCCGCTATCCATCTCTGTGCCCGCCCCTATCAGGGCCAATGAACCTGGCCATTATTTGGCGTTGGAAGTGCAAAGCAGGACTGGATTGGTGTGTGCACGTGGGCGCATTATGGTATGTGCATGTGTGAGGGAGAAGGAGAATAGGAGCACGGCGGAACAGGCGACGAGGAGGGAGAGAGGGGTGTAGATGTACCTTCCTGTGATCCATGGGAAGGTTCATTTCCAAAGTATGGCACATTGGTAAATCGTAGTGTGAAGCCCGCTTCATTTGTGATCTTCGTGCTCCCGTTCGTAATCCCACTCTGGCCCAAACTCACCACCTTCACTTGTAAGGCTGGTCGTCGTGATCGTCATGAAGCGGTGGTATTGGCCGTCCGATGTGCCTCACTAACTGCGAAAAAATCGGGCCGACGGCCATGTTCGCTGAAAACTGGGTATCTGCAGAGCGCATGTGATCAAGGGGAATCTTACTCAGTTTTACTTTTTTTTTTTTTTTACCTACTTGATCAGTCTTGCCAGTAATCATATGCCTGTCTCAAAAGACCGAGTCATGCGCGACTAAATGCGAGCACTCTTAACTGTTGGGCTGCGTGTGGCTTGCTTAATCAGTTACCATTTTATTTGGTAGCCACCCTACCATTTGAATAACCTCAGTAATTCTAAAGTTGATACGTGCACCATATCTCGACTTCTGAAAGAGGTGAAGAAGGGTTGATCCAGACTTGCTCGTTGATGCGGCGAAGAGGATTTGAAGTGTGGCCATGCCTGGTCGAACCTACAGTTGAAGGTTGTGGTCGTCTCTAATGGGCCGAGTTCATTTGCTGTCTAAACTGCAGGATAGCAGGAGCCGTTGGACAACTATTGCAATTGATCGGAGAATTAGCCGTTGTTGCCCCGTTTGCACTACTACAGTGCTTTGCGGTTGCGCATGGTTCCAGGAGTTGCAGAGGTCGGTTTGCCGGCAGGAGGAAGTCTAAAGCAGATCTAGGCTTCCACCAGAAGTGCAGCTGATTTGGACCGACTCGAGTGGTGTTGTGCACAATGTTGTTGTACAGGTTGGCGATGAGAGGCAACTTCTCATCCCAATCATCTTGGCTGGGCTTTATGTAATGCCTCAATAGATGCTACACCATTTGGTTCATCTGTTTAGCCTGCCCGTTGGCTTCAGGATGATTCCCAGAAGTCATCAAGAGTTGGCCGCCCATTTGTTCTGCAGCCTTCTTCCACATTTCACTTGTGAAACGACCATCTCTATCACTAACGATAGTCTTTGGCAATCCAAAGTCACGCACCCAGTTATCCATGAATAACTTGATGATGTGCTCAGTCCTTGCGGTCTCCGGCATGGCAATCAGTCTGGCGAACTTGGTAAACCTGTCAACTATGACGAAGATATGCCTCTTGCCACTCTTGCTGGTCACGAGGGTATCCATGAAGTCCGTGGAAACAGTGTCTCGGACCAGCTGGAATGGGTAGGGGCTTGAGTAACCCAAGTGGAGCTGGAGTCTGTGGATTGTTACTGGGCCACCAAAATCGTTGTATCAGATTCGCACTAGTCTTCTTATAGCCAAAGTGTCCCATTGCATCATGACATTCTCCTAAAAATAAACTACGCAAAATCTCGCTATCTGGAACAACTAATCTCTTAAATCCTGCCTTCTCAAGGAAGAGTAACCCATCCACCATCACAAACTCATCAGATGTGGCCTTGTTTTGGGCCTCAAGTTTGCGGATGATGGCCATCGTGACGGGATCTTCTTTGTAGGCTTCCACCATCAATCGAGTTACATCTTAAGATAATCCAAACTCTGTAATTAGCGCACCAAGGTAGTCTGCTCTACGTGACAGCGCATCAGCAACCTTGTTATACTCTCCCTTCGCATAGTCTCGCTTGAAGTCATACTGGTCTATGACCTCAATCCACTGTTCGAGTGCATTAGAGAGAACAAGATGTGTCTTGATCCACTTGAGCGTTTGGTGGTCAGTTCTCAGATAGAAGAACCTTCCCAACAGATAGTGTCTCCAATGGACAAGTGCCTTATAGAGGGCGTAGAGTTCCTTTTCATAGGTGGACTTCGCTAACTTCTTGGAAGGCATCTTCTTACTCATGTACTTGACCGGCCTCAACTTCTTCCCTTCCTGCTGAGCCAACACTGCTCCAATGCCATATTGGCTTGCATCTGTGGTCACAAAGAATGGCCTCTCAGGATCGGGAACCATGAGAACTTCATGGTGCGTGAGAGCATGCTTCAATTGCTTGAAAGCAGCTTCACACTCGTCAATGCATTTCGATGGTGTGTCAAGGCGTGTTAGATCAGTCACAGGGCTGGCCACCGTACTATAGTTCTTTACAAAGTTGCGGTAGTAGCCACACATCCCTAAGAAAGATCCGACCTCGATCACAATCCGAGGTTGTGGCCTGTCACGAATGCTAGCCACCTTGGCATCTTCAAGCCTTATCCTGTCCGCGAATATCTCATGACCCAAGGACAAGATTTTAGCGCTACCGAACTCGCATTTCTCTGAGTTGATCTTATACTTGTGTTGTCGCAAGAGTGAAAGTACAATCTCTAAATGTTGAGCATGCTCCTCGAGAGTTCTACTAATAAGTATGTCGTTGAGGTGCACGACGATAAGCTTATCTAAGTAGTCGTGGATATCTTATTCATGGCGTGCTGGAATGTTCTCGGCGCATTGCAAAGGCCAAAGGGCATCACCACAAATTCGTACAGACCGTACCTGGTATGAAATGCAATTTTGTGCTGGTCCTCCGGTCTAATGGCAATTTGATGGTAGCCAGACTTCAAGTCTATCTTAGTGAAGTACTTACATCCCTGCACCCTATCCAGAAGGCCATCGATGAGATGTTGAGGCTCTGCGTTCTTCATAGTGATGGCATTGAGGCCTCTATAATCAATGCACATACTTAGTGTCCCCTCCTCCTTCGGGACAAATAGGACTGGTGAGCCGAAGGGGGAGGTACTAGGCCCTCCATCGCTTTCTTGTGAGCTCTTTCAATTGTCGTTCGAGTTCGTCTAATTCGGTCGGTGCCATCCTCCCCAGAACTGTCTCTATGGCATGGACAACCTCCCGTTCTACAACTCCTGAAGGCTCCTCAAACAAATCAGGGTACTTCGCGATGACTTTTCCGATCTCTGGGGGTGTTTTAACGGCCTCCCCTTTCTCAAAGACCATACCCTCCTCTTGGTTCTGTTTATGTATATAATAATTATAAAAGGCAGATGCGCATATACACCCTTAAGTGCATTAAACTGCTAACCTTGTACTTGGCAAGTATGACTGTTCTCCCTTCCGGTAATACATGCTCCAGTACCTTTCGGTCCTAGTAAAACTGGGGCTTTGCAACCTCGAGGTAGTACATACCTAACAACATACCAAATGGCAAGTCGTCGCTGACTAGGAACGAAATCCTATGGTTAAGTTCCCCACCTCCATAGTAGAAGGTGCAAACCACGTATTTAATGTAATCGTCTACAACCATGCGCTCTTTGTTTGCTAAGGTAGAGGCTACAAATCTACCTAAGCGCTGCACCTGGTCCCCTAGGCGCAGTCTCTCAACGCGGTTGTGACTGATGAAGTTTCGCGTGGAGCCAATGTCTACGAAGGCACCACATTTGCGGCCACCTACACCGACTTCCACAACGAAGTGCTCCCCTCTTGGACCTTTACTAAGTGCTACCCAAGGCTCGCGAGGGTCCCTTGCCGACCACTCACTTTGCAAGTTCTCTAAGGCCTGAGACACATCCAACGGGCAAAGTATCGTTGGGTCAGGATGTGTCTGCGGGGTGAGTAAAGAGTCTATAGTTTCGACCAACTCTTGAAGTGGGGAGGGTACATTACCCACTTCATCAGGAGTAGAAGCAGCTAAAACTTCTCCTGGCCTGATGTGTTTCCCGAGTTGGAGCTTGTAGAAGCCCCACCTTGGGAGAAGGAATTCCCAAAACCACCTTTGGGAGCTATCTTTTGCGTCACCTTCACGTTCTTGTATTTGAACTGCTCATGGTCGTACGCGCCGCAGTTGATGCAAGCACCTTGCTAATGGCGATCTCGCCACACATCTTGTTCCAGTCCCGCCCTCACCCAAGATGGTATCTTGGTTGAGTTCTGGGTCTGCTCCTGACTCTTTGATTGACCGCCGTTGCTGCAGTCGCCTGCCTTAACCTTTACAAGTGAGGCGTGGTTGCTACCCTCAGCACTATCCTCGTCCTCTAACTCAGTGTCGTCCACTAAGTCGAAGTAATCATCGATCTCTGTCGGATTCCCTTCGGAATCAACCATCATCAATCGACTACCTTTCTTTTTCCACTCTTGTGGACTCTTCTTCTTTCTTCCATTGGTAGGGGTTTGTTGGGCTCCTGCTATCCTAGCCTTTAAGTTTAGGGCCTTCTTGCTGAAGGAGTTCAGAGTGTGATAACAGAAGGTTCTTGATGTCTGTCGGAAGACATGTAAGATATATGGTCATAAGGACCTGTGGATCATAGCGCACACGGGGGACGACAATGAGACGCTCCACGACAGAGGTAAGCTCACGCGCGGATGTGTACTTCTTAGTATCAAGCCGGGTCAACGCATCATTCGTCTGCTGGGCCTGCTTCGGTTTGTGCCATCGCGTTTCTACCAACTCCGTAAAGCTCTCTAGAGTATGGGTCTTAGCCCAATCATTCATTCGCTTGCCGAACCCCTTTGAGGCTACTTATCCATCAAGCCATCACGATGCAGAACCCTCCAAATATGAGGCGGCAGTGATCACTTCGTCCTCTACCAGCGTCCTCTTTGCCCTGGGCCCCTGACCCACACCGGAACCGTTCTCAACCAAGTGTCAAGAGCCTCATCGTTTTTATCGCCTGAGAAGGTTGAGGGTGGCTTCAATGGGGTCTTGGGGTACCAAGGCTGCTGTTGTCCCACTGGTGGGACCGGCTGTTGTGTAGCACCAGCCGCTGTGCCAAGAGATGAAGAAGCAACAGTCTGTGCTGCTGCTGCTGACGTACCGCTTGGTGAACTGCTATACTGAGACATAGGACTTGTCATCACCGGTGAGGAAACCGGCGATGGGAAAACTGGAGGTCGGAAACTGGGGCCACCTGTTGGAGATGGGAAAGCTCTTCCCATTCCTTGCATGGTGCTCAACATCTGGTCAAGGGTAGCATCCAGTTGCTGTCCATGTATGCATGCATGGACATAAGACCTGCCTTGAGAATAATCGTGTTGTTGTCAATGACAGCGTCATCCAATGCTTGTACAACAGCTTTGACTGCCTCCCTATTCTCTAGTCTAGCTTTCCTAGTTCTAATCTCATTTTCTTTTTCAGCTGCTTCTCTGAGTTCCTTCACTAGCCGTAAGCGGATCAACTCCACTTGTTGGAGTTCAATGGCTTCTCTCGTGCGTGGAGGTGGCGAGCTGTACCGCGAGCCCACCATCTGACTGGAAGAACTGCTTGTTGCCACTGTGCTGGATGTGGTCTGCGAAGTGTGCGGCATGCCTACGCTCATCTGACTAGATGTAGCGGCTGAAGTAGCAGCAGAAGTAGCCATAGCTGCTGCAGTGGCTTTGCCGCTGTTAGCGCTTGCTCGGCCGCCGCTGCCGCTTCTCTAGCCCTCTCTAAGCATTCAGCTACTGCTTCCTGTCGCAAAGCCCTCTCACCCCCAAGGGGTAAAGCTTGGTGCACTATTGGAATCCTAGACGTGTCAGCCTCCTTCCTTCAGATCTGTCCTCTCCACTGCCTGGTCCACTCGTCAACTAGGCAGACACTGTCTGCACTACTGCCCTCACTGGGGCCTACAGCAGCATGTGTCTGACCGAGTTGAAAAATACATAAAAATAAAATCATATTCGGTAAGTCACCTAGGCTCTTGATCAAGTGGTATAAACAGCATTTACACAAACTGTACACATAATCTACTCCTATCTTGATTAGTTTCAGTCACAGCAGCTTCGATTAGAACTGGCTATGGTAGGATACTACAATACTAATCTAGGCTGTTTGTTAGGTGTGAGCAGTCTGTCACCAACTAATCAAAAATAAAAATAAATTATGTGAGCAGATGTATGCACAATGGGTATGTTTGTGATGAACAGTTGAACGGCAATTGGAATCTCACTCCCCTGTATCCAACGTGCATGTCGGCATCAACAAGCAGGGGTGTCTAAGGTGTGCATTAACGGCCCACCCCTTGTCGGCATCAACAAGCAGGGGTGTCTAAGGTGTGCATTAACGGCCCACCCCTGTGCCCCAGGAATATGCTTGTGACCAGTACTGCCCTTTCTTTATCCTCGCGTGCAACGAGCCTTACGTGAGACTGATCTGGCTGATGAAGAGGCAGTTTAAGGAGGTCCTCAGGAATAATTTAACATCGCAGACAGGATGATGATCACAGCCAGTGGACGGTTCAGAACCCCTCTATCAGCGCAGCAAAGAGCCTGAAAGGACAAAGCAGCATGGCCCGCGTGTACTACTCCCATGGGTTGGCATGGTGACCGTGACCTGCGCTTCGACCAGGGACCTTCAGGGGCCCTGCCCTCTCCTGCCAGATGCGCCACCGGGAAGAATTTTGTCTCTCGAGGTAGAGCGCTCACGACTCACGAAAAGAGGACATTAAGGTTGGACTCAGTTCCTCATAGTAAGAAGAGATTGAGAGGGTCGATAAGGTAAGGGAACAACGTACCTGGAGATAGCTGCCCCCGACCACAAATTTCTCATCAATTGAGCCAATGTGCATTTCGATGACCGGTCGTAGCTTCGGTACCAACCACAGCGCAATGCAGTGCCACCTTAGCCAAAATGCCACATCAGCATGCTCTCATCATCATACATGCATCCGCTGTTGCCACAGCCTTCCTGCAACGCACCCCTCTACCCGGGTGCCCCGTTGTCAGGCCAGCGCCAATGTATCCTCACTGCACAGAAGCATCGTCAGCGCACCAAGTAACAATGTAGCCGGCAGCAGATAGGTGATCTCGAACCAGCTCTGATACCAATTTGCAAGGAACATGAGCAAGAGCGATATACAAAAAACCAAATTGCAAAATCACGCAGAAGTCTAGATAGTCATGCACAAGCAGAGAGCTCAAATGCACCAAGATTCCATCCAAATAAGAGCAATTTAATGAACTCGTGAGCCAATGTTCAAGCCCTCAGGCCACACCAACGCATTATTCAACGCTGCTCCTCTCTGACTGGCCCCCGATGTCCAGCCTACTCTACTTGCCTATCTAGCCTATCTGCGTTCATACAACAGGCTCACTTCAACTTCGAAGACCAATGTACATGTCATCAACACCAATGCCGACCTCCCACATACTCCAGGTACGTATCTCCATCTCCCCTCATCACCCCATCACCCACTTCTGCGCCGCCTCCCGAAGACCCCCTGTCGCCCCCCTATGCCTCGCTCCCTGCAGCCCGGCTGTGGCATCTAGCGCCCCGCTGCCCTGCAGCGTCCTCACCTCTCAGCGCCAGCGCGCGCCCCAGCCCAAGCCATTGCATGCAGGCACTCGCTTGCTAGCGCAGCCGTGTTGTCAGGAGACCAGGGAGGAAGACGCCTGCCGTTCG